CATGTTGCATCTTTTTTATTCTGAACCAAACTATTTGAAATAATTTATTAGTTCTACTAGCAATAAAGAATTTGCTTTTTTATTTTAAAGTTGGATGATAGAGGTGTAATGTTAACATATCATACAAATTCGAGAATCATTAGGACTCTGAGGGGAGAGCAATTGAGTTGTAGGATTCAACTCGTCAATAAAAAAAGAGGAGTCAACGGAAGTGTAACATAAAATTCTTATAGATTCTAAATGAGCAACTGGTGCATAGGTTTCATCATAATCAATATATTTTTTTTGATTATATCCTTGTGCAACCAGTCTGGCTTTGTTTCTAACAACTTGTCCAGATTCATCTAATTTATTTTTAAATATCCATTTGTTTCCAATATTATTTCTTGTAAATTGGTTTAGTTCATCTTGCATAGCAATTATCCAAAAAACATCAAGTAAAGCTTCTTTTATATTTTTAGGTTCAATAATAGAAATAAAAACAGCATGAGCAATCAAATTAAAATGAGATCTAGTAGTGACTTTATCAGAAATATTACCAATAACCAAATCATGTGGATGATTTCTAACTTCTACAAAATCCTTTGGTAAATCATTTTGTAAATTATCACCTTTTGAAATAGCTAGCATTGGAGTATCATGAATAGAATCAACTAAATCATCATCATTATTTAAAACAATAGGTGTTTTTATAAAACTCTCATCAAAAGAAACATGCATAGATTCTTCAATGACTAAGGTTCTTTTGTTATATATTCTATAAGCTTTGCTATGGTTAGAATATCCAACAAAGATTCCTTCATCAGATTTAGAATCAAAATTTTCCAAGTTATCTTTTGTGTTTAAAATAAACCATTTACAACCAAAAACTTTAAAATAAGAAACTTTAGGAATTCTATCATAAAACAACTCATAAGGTGTTTTCTTTAAAATAGATCTTAATAATATTCTGTTTAGAACATAACATGTTGTAGAGACAGCTTCGCCCAAAAGTACTTTGGTAGGTTACTATCACACAACATGGTTCTAGCACATTCTTGTAAAGTCTATTCTTCCTTTCTACAACTCCATTTTGTGGAGCCGCTCGAGGAAAAGAAAAAGTGTGAGAAATACCATTTTTAACACAAAAATTTGCAAAAAGTTCATTCTCAAATTCTCCTCCATGATCACTACGTATAGTAATAATAGAAAGAGACTTTTGTTTTTTAATCCTTTTACAAAAGATAAAAAAACTCATTAAAAGCATCATTTTTATGTTTAAAATATTACCCATGTAAATCTTAAAAAACCATCAATAAGTATAAATGCATATCTACTTCCATTTAATGATGCTACTATAGATAGACCAAAAAGATCAATATGAATCAGTTCTAGTGGTTTACTTGTAAAAATTACATCTTTAGATTTGAAAGATGATTTATGCATTTTTTTCTTGTTGACATGCATCACAAAAATTATCTTTATACGAAAGCTTAGGTAAACCTTTAATAGAATCATTCTTAGAAAATTTAGAAATATGTTTAAAGTTAACATGACCAAAATGTTTATGTCATAAAATAGAATCATTAGAAGATGCAAGAAGACAATGTCCATAAGAAATGTTCTTCATAGATAAAACATATATATTATTTTTGTATGCCCTTTAAATAAAACAGTAATCATAGCAATATCATAAATTAAGCAAGATTCTTTTTCAAAAATAATTTTAAAACATTTATCACAAAGTTGACTTATACTAAGCAAATTATGTTTAAGACCATCAACTAATAAAACATTATCAATAATAAGTTTATTTAGATTACCGACAATTTCAATACTGATGACCTTTCCTTTGTTGTTATCTCCAAAAGTGACAGAACCACCATCCTTATTTAGACAAGATGATAATAATTGTATATTACCGGTCATATGTTTAGAGCAACCGTTATCCAAAATCCATCTATTTTTCTTAGGTACCTCAAATGATAAGCATTTATAATTTTGGTGCTCATACTATATTGGGTCCATAAAATTAGCCTTTAGGAAACCAAATCTATGAAGAGTTTGATTTGTTTAAATAGTTATTTAATAAAAAAACATCTTTAATAAAGGTAGAAATATAAGACTTTTTCTTTAACGAAGTTAATTCTTTAGGTACCCAAATAGATAAGTATTTTGATTTCTTTTCACATAAAATATTATCTTTAACATTATGTTCAAGCAATTTAGAAGTTGGTTTTACAAAAATGGTTTTCGTAGAAATATTTTTGTTAACATGAAAACCCAAACCTTTTGTCTTTTGAGATTCTTTTTGATATGAAACTAAATTATTAAGATTTTCTTTACCTTTATTGAATTTACTAACATTCAAACATATATCATCATATTTTAATTTAATAGAAGAAATATCTTTATCTAAAACATTAATGCGAATTTTTAAATCATTGCATTCTGATTTTAGATAAACATTCTCATTAGTCAAAATATGATTTTCTTTAAGCAAGGATTTATTTTCCTCTTTCAATTCAATTACTTGAGAATTAGAAATAGTAGAAGAATTAAAATCAGAAATTTCTTCAAGTAATCTTTTATTTTCACCTTTAAGAAAATTATGTGAAGCCTTTAATCTCAAAAATGTTTCATATAATTCATTGAAAGCGTCTAAAAGCTCTTCATTGTCACTTACTTCATCTTGTGCCATAAAACACATATGAGCGCTTTCCTTTTCTTCAATTTCTTCATCCGAAGACGAATCATCACTATCATCCCATGTAGCCGCCAAAGCCTTCCTTTTCTTGTTGCTTTGAATATTGTTGAAGTTGTTGAAATAATTTGATTTTTGCTTATTTTTTAACAATGGACAATATTTCTTCATATGTCCTGGTTTGTTACATTTGAAACAAAGTAAGTTATTTGAATTTGAATTTTTTTATTTTAACTTACCTTGTTTTATGAACTTTCTAAACTTGCGTGCAAACATGCTCATTTCTTCATCATCATCCGAATCTTCTTTATCGGAAGTAGTATTGAATGCAAGCACTTTCTTGTTCTTTGTTTCATCTTCATTCTTTCTATCTTAAATTTGAACTTTATAAGCCATGAGGTTACTAATTAGATTTTCTACCATAAGAGTTAATAAGTCATTTGCTTCCTCTATTGCGGTAACTTTGTTTCCCCATTGTCGAGTAAGTGAATGAAGTATCTTTTTCACCATCTCCACTTGAGTGTATATTTTTCCAAGACCGATGAGAGAATCGGTAAACCTTGTAAACATCTCTCCAATTGTCTTATTTTCCTTCATTCTAAACAATTTGAATCCGTGTACAAGAACAGAAATTTTAGATTCTTTAACCTTACTTATGCCTTCTTGAGTTACCTCGAGTGTGTGCCAAATGTCATATGCAGATGTGGCCGTTGACACCCTGTTGAACTCATTCTTGTCAAGAGCACAGAACAAGGCTTTCATTGCTTTAGAATCCAAATTTACATTGTTCCTTTGAGATGTAGTCCATTCCATGAAAGGAGTAGTTAGCTTCTTGTATTTTGTTTCCACAACGTTCCAAAGTTCGTAGCCAATTGATTGTAGATAGATTTTCATCTGGCACTTCCAATAATTGTAATTTAGTCCATCAAACATTGGTGGATGATTTGTAGAATGTCCTTCCTTGAATTTTGAGTTTGAGTCGAAAGTTGATGTCATTTCTTCAACCTTGCTTTGATACCAAATGTAGGATCTGATCTAATCACACTTAAACACTAGAGGGGGTGAATAGTGTTTCTTTAAAAATCTATGCAAAAAAGATTATAATTTGCAAAGAAGATAGCATAATCACAGAAAATCATAATCACAAACACAGAATTTTATACTGGTTTCACCTGTCAGGTGTACATCCAGTCCCCAAGTAAATCCCACTTGAGAGTTCCATTATGATTTTGAAGAACTGACAGAACCAAACAGCAAATCTGACTAATTTGTAAGTCCCTACAAATTGCACACAATCTCTTCACCAAGAGATTACACCTCTCACACCTGTGAGAACATTTGTCTTGTTACAACTTGATTCCTATAAGCCTTAAGTGTATTGTGATGTGTAGCAATGGCTTAGGAACATTTTGAATCTCTAAAAATTACCTAATTTGATTGTATATTGAATGAAGATCAAAGGCTAACTCAGAGAATGCTTTTTCTCAATACTCAGTGAAAATCTGGAAATTTTTAACACTTGAAAAATGCACAAACTTGAATCTTATAGATAGGAATAAGTCGGTAAATTTTCTGAACTTGTAACCTATTTATAGCCATTGAAAAGATAATTTTTCACCCTAAAAACATGCACATAATGACTATAAACAGTCACTTTTTTAAAAAGTAAAATGTCAGAAAACTATGTTAGTAGTTGACTAATGGTCATTGTAGTCGACTATTCTGAGTTCAAACAATTTCAGTAAACTTAGGATTTTTCTTAGTAGTCGACTACTATATTCATTAGTCGACTACTATGTAAAACAAAAAATTTGGAATTTAAAATTCAAAACTGAGTAGCCGACTATAATTATTAGTAGTCGACTATTCTGCATTATTACAGGATTTGAAGTTTTTGTCTAAGTCTTTATTAGTCAACTATTATCTCTTGTAGTCGACTATACTATATTTGTACAGAGTTTTATATTTTGATCAAAGGTTTCAGTAGTCGACTATAATTCTAATTCACTAATTGACTAAATACTCTAATGGTTAACATAGGGGATTTCTACTGTTAACCAACACATTAAGCCTGTGTTAATGTGTTCTAATTATTGGACCCTAGAAGGGGGTGATTAGGGTCTTGAGGCAATAATAGTGCAATAAAAATTATGACAAGCAATACACCACTAATGAATGCTAAAATAAAAGAGATAATGTTAGAGATCGTTATCCATGAGACGCGCAATGTGTTAACGAGGTTCGGTCCGCTGACCTACGTTCCCGCTCCCAACTCTCGAGGAGAATCGACTACACAACCCGGTTTAGAAGCCAGAACTTCTTCTACACAACGATCTCCACGAGATCTCTCAACCACACAATTGATCTCCATGAGATCACCCTCACGACAGTAGTAATCATAGGAAAAACTCTCTTTACAGCAATCCTATGGTAAGAAGAGAGATAGCACTTGAAGCTTGGGATGTGAAAAATGAAACAGTAAACAACAAGATGAAAGTTGAAGCTCTTTTGAAAACACAACCACAAACTCAAGAGATTTGCAATTAATTCTCTTACTGGAGTAGTTGGGGTTGTTGGGTATTTATAGGGAGAGAAAACTGCAGCCAAAACCCAAAGAAATCCAGCAAAAATCCCACGAAATCCAAGAAATAGATTCTGTACAGCACTAGCCGTTTGACAGGCTGTCAGTCGACTGACGGGCGGCGCCAGTCGACTGATAAGCTGAATATCATATTCAAATACGAGCTTATTAGTCGACTGATAGATATTTTTAGTCAACTGAAAAACTTCAGTAGACTGGTCAGTCGACGGAAACAGAACAGAGACTAAAATGAAGATTCCAGGCACTTTCTTCAGTCGACTCGACTCATCAGTCGACTAACTTCATCAGTCGACTGACTAGTTGACTGATAACATATTATCAGCCTAACTTGGATTTAAAAATGAGTTTCAAAGCTCTGTTAAAAATAGTAAATAAATTCCAAAATATAAAACTTTGGAAATAGTTTATAAACATTTTGACAAACTTGTTTGAAAAAGAATTCTGCAAAAAGGTCCTCATATTTGTAAAAATCATCATTTTAACAAAAGCACCAAAATACGAGTTTTGAAAGTGTGCAAGTGTGTGTGGTCTCCCAAATAGCTTCAAATGAAATCTACAACTACTTGCCTACATTCTAGCACTAGAGAGAAAATAAAAATAACAAATATCTCTCACATAGAAATACATTTCTTGAGTCTTGATATTGCTTTAGAGTTGATAAAGTTTCTTATTTCGTTTAGTGTTCTTGATAAACATTGCTTCATCACTTTGCCTCCTCCTCATTTAGAAATCGTCGTTGTAGCTCATATTCTATCCAATCCTCCATAAATAGTACTAACAAGCTTGATATACATATATACTACAATATCACTCAACAAGCTATTAGTACCGATAATGGTGGTTGTAAATCATCATCAAAACATAAGGGCTAACACTAATCTCTATGTGTGTGTATGTGTGAGTGATCAAGGCTTGTACAAGTTTTCTAAGTAAAGAAAATGTAAAAACTACATTGATGTAAAAGCTCTTCATCTTTTTTACTTCATGATGTCTTGAACTTATCTTACACTTGTTCATGTTGATAGCTGTATTGAAATGTTGGTGCACAATAACACACATAGTGATTCATATTATGAATAAATTGTTATCATCAAAATTATATCATGGGAACATGATATCCAACATACTTTACTTAAGCCTTAACTTAGACTTTTAATTAAAATAATAAAATTTTTGCATGCTTAGCTTAAAGCTGAAAATAAATTTTCAAGTTGTCTTGATCTACATATTTTTTTCAATATATATATATATATATTTAAAAAACTAAATTTGGAAAAGAAGAGTGCGGAAAATGGGCACCACAAAAAAACTCTTAAATTCAAGGTGATTCTATCTTATAAAGCCTAAGTTGACCGAGTAAATAAGCCCAATGAGTATTTCCATACTTAATGACCTAAGCCCAATTGGGTTGGGATTTATTGGACCAAAACTAGTTAAATGTAACTTATGAATAAGCCCGATAAATTAGAGAAAATCACCAATGATAAAGAGTGATATAATATATATATATATATTATATATAATATATATAATATATATATATATATATTATATAATATATTATATATATATATAATATATATATAATATAAGCCGTAAATCCGAAAAAATTACCAAGGAATAAAGAGTTGATATATATATATATGATATATATATATATATATAATATATATATATAATAATATATATATATATAAATAATATATACTATATATAATAGAGAGAGGGAGAGAGAGAGAGAGAGAGAAAACTGCAGAAGCACTGCCCAGCTCTCCTGAGCGTGCGCTGCTTGGGCTTTTCTGAAAAATTTCACGCTTCCTCGACAAAACCGCTGCTCTCTCTCCCAAAAAATTAAAATCCCCAACTCTATCTCACCAAAAGCTCAGATCCCCAATTCCTCTTCCTCCCCCAAGCTCAGATCCTCAAGTCCACTAAAAGAGCCCCAAATCTCCCCCCAAATCCCACCATTTCGTCGATCTCTCTCAGGTCGATCTCTCTCAGATCCCCGACATTCGAAGACTAAAAGAGCCGCCACGATTCCTCTCCGCTCCCTCTCCGTCGCGGGTGACCCCAGCTCCGAGCAGCGCACTGCCCAGCTCCGAGCAGCGCACCGCCACGAGCAGCGCTCTTCCCTCGCGATCGAGCAGCGCTCTTCCCTCGCGATCCAGTCCAGCTCCACGAGATCCACGAATCCCTCCTCCACGAGCTCCTCCCCCGCCAATGTAGGTCATTTCCTATTTTCTCTCCAATTTTCCGTTCATCAGCACACCGCCCATTAATTTTCCGTTCATCAGCTCCAATTTTCCGTTCATCAGCACGTCTCTAGTTTAGATAAGGATTTTCGCGATCCAGTCCAGCCCCAGTTTTGCATAGAACCTTGGAGCTAATTATTTTCGTTAATTTTCAGTTCATGCATGAGAAGTTTCTAGACTTTCAATGGATCCAAACTTAATTTAGGCTGCCGTTTGGTTTTGGTAGGGTTTGGTTGTGTCTATTAAGGAGTTTGATTAATTGGTTTAAGTTTCTATACTTATGAATTCTTTTTAATTATTTTCGTAAGAGAAGAGAAGAGGGGAAGAAAGAACAACATGGCCGGAGTAGGAAGTGCTAGGATTTATAACTTTGAGAGAGAAACTTTTATAAGAAGTTGTATTTGTATAAATTAATAAGCCAGCAAAAAGTTTGTAATACACTATATAGAAAAATTACATGAGTCAATTATTGAGTCTTGGTTATAAATTCATGTATTTGAAAACAAACTTCAACAGTTAGTAGAAACAGAGATGTAGTTCGTTTGCATGCATTATAGCCATAAAACTAATTAATTTTGTGTAAATTCATGTATTTTTCTTGATGAATCCATGCATCTCTTTTACAGCAAAAAAAGTGTTCGAAATGGGAGAATCAAGTTCTAGTTGAATTGAAATTTCTGCCAGTACAGAAAATGCTCCTAAGCCACTACTCGGAATGAAATTTAATACTTATGAAGAAGCTTATAACTATTATAACCATTATGCATTGTTGATGGGTTTTGGAATACGGAAGAGCACGGTGAATTACTCGAAGAAGACAAGAGACGTGCTGGACAGAAAGTTTGTTTGTGATAAGGAGGGCTATAGATCCAATAGAGATAAGATGGAGATGCTTTTTCGGCGAGAGACCCGAGTAGGATGTAAGGCAATAATGAGAGTTAAAGTGTTGGAGGACAAATCGTGGGAGGTCACGGGGTTTGTTGAAGAACATACAAATCATGTGTTGAGTAGTCCAGACAAAGCAAAGATGCACAGATCACACCAACAATTCCATAAATCTCAAAGTTGTAAAAAACTTATTGAGAGTTTGCAAGAAGAAGGTATGCCTCCATCCACTATTTCTCGCGTCATTAACGCAACCACTGGAAGAGAAGGCGAATTAGTGACACCACAACAGTGTATTGATCACATCAGATACCAGAGAGTCAACAATATTGGCCATGAATGCATATCTATCATAAAACATTTTCAGAGTATGACAGCAAATGATCCAGAATTCTATTTTGCAATAGAAGTGGATAGTAGTGGACAAATGAGGAGTGTTTTTTGGGCTGACGGAAGATCAAGAGCGTCTTATTTACAATTTAGTGATGTTGTTGTGTTTGATGTGACATACAGAACTAATAAGTTCAGTCTTCCATTTGCTCCATTGTGACATACAGAACTAATAAGTTCAGTCTTCCATTTGCTCCATTTACTGGTGTGAATCATCATAGGCAGTCCACTTTACTTGGTTGTGCATTATTAGCTGATGAACAAGAAGATACATTTGTGTGGTTATTTGAAGAATGGCTTAAATGCATGCATGGGGTTGAACCAGGTGCTATTATAACAAATCAGGATAGAGCCATGTGCAATGCTATTCACTCTGTGTTTCCAATGACAAGACATCGTTATTGCTTTTGGCACATGCAAAAGCATATTACTGATCATTTGCCTACTTTCGGTTCTCGTTACGGTGAACAGTTTCAAATGTATTGGGGCTTATGGTGTAATAGTTCTTCAATAGAACAGTGTGAAGGATATTGGCTAGAGATGAAGGAGAAGTTTGATATAAATGAAGAAGAGGATGGATGGTTGCAAACTGTTTACAAATATCGAGAACATTGGGTGTCATGTTATTTGAAAGATACTTTTTTTGCTGGAATGAGATCGAGCCAAAGAAGTGAAAGTATAAATGCATTTTTTGATGGGTATGTTAACTCACAGACTCAATTACACGAGTTTGTATTACAATATGAAAAAGCATTAACTCATCGTCGCTTAAGTGAAGCTCATGAAGATTTTAAGAGTCTTAACACAAAGCCTGTCATGCTCCTTGGACATCCGATTGAGGTCCAAGCTGGAGAAATGTATACACGCAACATGTTTGATGTGTTCCAAACCGAATTCAAAGGATTTGCTACAGAGTTTTGTGAAGAATTAAGCAAAGATGGGGATATTATTGAATACAAGATTTGTAAGTTTGCAGATAGATCAAAAGGGGAGCTGGTTACTTATGACCAATCCAGTAAGATACAATTTATTTGTACTTGTGCTTTGTTTGAAACTAATGGTGTTGTATGTAGACATATATTATCACTAATGATGGCTAGCATTTGATTCAGAAGAGAGGATGCAGAAATTAGACAATGTGTTAACAAAATTCATAGAAGCATTTGAAGAAGAAGTTAGAGAAACAGAAGATATTCCTCAGATTTCCGCACCCATTTCACATACCATTGAGCACATTCCTCAGATTACAGTTCGTGATCCTGAAAAATCTGCAAGGACTAAAGGTCGTCCACGCAATGCTACTAGAATTCAGTCAGGTTTAGAACAAGCACAACAAAATAAAGAGAGGAAGAAGCGTATATGTAGCAGATGTGGTGAACTCGGGCATTATAGAACTAGCTGTAAAGTCAACTTGCCAAGGTACAATTACTTTGTTTTTCATATGTAGCTTTTTTGTGAATTTCTTATATGTTTATCTTTTTTCAAGTTTGAATTTGTCCTATATCATGCACAATATCTTTTTTCATATGAATTTCATCTACATTTCCCTTTTGTACATTTTACAGGTGAAATTCAGGGTGCTTTCCAATGATGAGTTACTCTTATGCCCCCCCAAGATTCTGCATGACGAAGATGAATGTTTCTTGCAATATTTCACTTGTTGTGTGTTGTTTTCAAGAAGATTCTTGAAGAAGTATTTCCGGTGCAAATGTTGTAGTAGTTGTTGAACAATATTCGAGCTCCTTGTGGTTTGTAATTTGTATGCTACTCTTATGAAGCTTATGTATCTATGAAGCTTATTTATGTTTTCTGATGCTTGAACAATAGTTGAACAATAGTTGCTGATTTATGTTTTCTTGAACAATAGTTGCTGATTTATGCTTGAACAATAGTTGAACAATACTTGAACAATATTCAAGCTCCTTGTTGAACAATAGTTGCTGATTTATGTTTTCTGATGCTTGAAATGAACGAAATAACTTGAATAAGTCCCGCCATTTTGCATTGTTAATGCAGGGATTGCGAATGCATTTTGCAGGGATTGCATAAATCCCGCCATTTTGCATCCTAGTGCCACTGCTTGTTTCGTCGTAACAATTGAACACAGTAGCAGAAAGACTCACAGTTGCACCCAACAAGTTGCACTGATTAGTTCATAAACATGGTGGATCAGTGTCAGTTTGTAATAAAGCTCACCCAGATCAACATTCTTAGGCATGATATAACTCACAGTTCGCACAGTTGCATCCATGCCCCTGATGCAAACAACTCACAGTACAGACGGGAATTATTAAAAATTAGGATGCACTTGGCTACAGAGATAAATCCAAGGGAATTATATCCACTTCAAATGCAAATACACAGAATATTAGGAAACTAAACATTCGCTTAAGCTTCTAAAAAAGAAAGAGATTGGCTTAGAGCTTCCCCAAAAGAAAAGCATTGGCTTAGTAAGCAGATGACGTGTCGATTGTGGATACATCGTATGCATATTTTGCAGATCTATCATATTCTGTAGATTAGATTTGGGAAAGTCAAAGGAAATCATATATTGAATGAAATCCATAAATACGCAACAACCAACATCCAATTAAGCTAGGCAAAATCATTTGAATACAACTGACCACAAGGCCATTTCAAAAATTAGACAAAGCACCAAACCAACAAATCATGCACGATCACATCAATGGTTTCCGAGCCTAATAGAGAAACAACAAAACTGCAACGATAATACTAAGAAATATTAAAATTGGTAAACAATGAACCTAATACAAAAATCATATATGGAGTACAATAGCGTTTCCCAGTGTTTTCCCTTTGTCTCAAGAATGTTATGCCCCTCTGGAACATTTGAAGTTTTGAACACAAACATGTGGCTGCAGCATCCTTGAGCTGGGATGCTGAATCACCGTCTCGCTAAGTGCTGTCTCCACTCTCAGCTCGAAAGCCTCTCATCGTAGTGCAATCCTTGTGTACCAGCATTCTGGGGATCTATCAACTTGAGATAGCTTCCCTCTAATTATAAAAATGCCACAACGTCGAACCTTCTTTCAACTAAAAACTCTTTCTTTCTTTTATCACTGGCAGATAAAAGACAAGTGAATTGATATTAATGTGGCCTATTGCCTCTCCCTGATGTCTGGAATAAATCTGAAGGATCGACTTATGTATAAAGCCAGGTTAGAGATGTTCTGCCACCTTGTTCAGCTTTTTTAAACCCAAAATCCACTATTAATTAAGCCAGTTCAATGATCACGTACAGTCGAAGAACGATGAATTACAAACATAGAAACATTTATCAACGAAGACATATCAAAGACTCCTAATTATCCTTCTTTATTTCAGTTTACTTCCAGTTCACATCCTACTATGTTGCATAAATCCATACCAAATTCATCATACTACACTTCATCATACCAAATTCATCATACATATCAAAGAATATCATAACTTGCAAGATGTAAGGCCACTTGTAACTAAAATTTATCATACTACATGCTGCATAAATCCATACCAAATTCAGTTTACTTCCAGTTCACATCCTACTATTGCACACTAAGTATCAAAAAACCAAAATAGAACATGAACATTTAAAGCCCACAAGGTAGAAGCATTCTGTAGGGTTTTTATCTGCATCTCAAATAAAAAACTGACCACAATTAAGAGTTCAAAACAGCAACGATAGCAACCAGCATAAGAATAACAAAGGGAACAACAACCTAGAGCGCACAATGTTCTCTTCTCTATTCAATATTTAAGTTGAATCATTAATCAAATTAAATTAAATCAAAGCATCTCTCTTTTTTCAAGTTTTAACATCCATTAATTAGTTCCATTATCTCTTTTTTCAAGTTTCTGATATAAACTCAATTACCAGCTACAAACCTTTTTAATTATAGTCAAAATTAACACTGAGGTAGAACCAAAATCATTGTTTCTAACTCATTATAGAATGATGGAGTACCTTGTAAGCGGTCACAGTTCTCGGTCTGGGGTCACCCACGACGGAGGAGGACTGCCCAGCGGGTGGCGAGGGACTGGAGCTCGTAAAGAGAGATTGGGGGACTGTAGCTCGTTGATCGGGTGCTGGGCAGCGCTTGGGGGATGCGGATCTCATCGAAGAGAGATCGAGAGGATTCGTGGCGGAGGACTGGAAATCGTGGCGAGAACTGGAGCTCGTGGCGGTGCGCTGCTCGGTCGGTGTGCTGATGAACGGAAAATTGGAGAGAAAATAGGAAATGATCTACATTGGCGGGGGAGGAGCTCGTGGAGGAGGGATTCGTGGATCTCGTGGAGCTGGACTGGATCGCGAGGGAAGAGCGCTGCTCGATCGCGAGGGAAGAGCGCTGCTCGTGGCGGTGCGCTGCTCGGAGCTGGGCAGTGCGCTGCTCGGAGCTGGGGTCACCCGCGACGGAGAGGGAGCGGAGAGGAATCGTGGCGGCTCTTTTAGTCTTCGAATGTCGGGGATCTGATAGAGATCGACCTGAGAGAGATCGACGAAATGGTGGGATTTGGGGGGAGATTTGGGGCTCTTTTAGTGGACTTGAGGATCTGAGCTTGGGGAAGGAAGAGGAATTGGGGATCTGAGATTTTTTTTTCTGATTTGGGGCTCTTTTAGTGGACTTGAGGATCTGAGCTTGGGGGAGGAAGAGGACTTGAGGAAGAGTTGGGGATTTTAATTTTTTGGGAGAGAGAGCAGCGCTTTTGTCGAGGAATCGTGAATTTTTTCAGAAAAGCCCAAGCAGCGCACGCTCAGGAGAGCTGGGCAGTGCTTCTGCAGTTTTCTCATATAAGAGTTGGGGATTTTAATTTTTTGGGAGAGAGAGCAGCGCTTTTGTCGAGGAATCGTGAATTTTTTCAGAAAAGCCCAAGCAGCGCACGCTCAGGAGAGCTGGGCAGTGCTTCTGCAGTTCTCTCAT